ATGCTTTTTTTCTTCTCAGGGGGGCCGTGATGAAAGTTAGGGTAAAAACGTTGGGTTCAAAGAAACGGAATAAGAATGTTGCCCAGCAGGTCGCCGTTTGTGTTCACGGTTCATTTTCTACAGAAAGGGGAAAAACATAAAAAAACAACAACGGAAAACAAGGTACAAGGATATACTTGAAAAAAGAAGGGAAGCTTGTTTAAAGACCGACCCCCCCCCCCCACCCTTACCCCTGCTTCCCTCCGGAAAAAATCGGAGAAGGAGCCCCGTCTCTGATTTTTTCCTGATCGGAGGGGACGTTTGTACACAGGCTAAAAGAAGGGAGGAACAGCAGGGAATGGACCCGCTCTTCTCAACTGGGAATCCAAAGTGAGGGGACCCCCTGCTGCTACGCTGACCAATATTGAATGCATGCTCAACATATGCCAGCTCTGTGAGTGTGTATTTACCAGCGCGCAACTACCTATTTGTCCATAAGATGTGTAACAAGCTATGCAGTATGGCTTGCGAGCTCACAGGGCTTCAAAAACAGCTGCTTGAAGCACTGTTCGAGAGCGGTCTTTCCAGGGAATCTCTCTTGTCAGCGTACGATACGCTGTGCGATAAACAGGCAGAGATATCAGAAAGCGCAGATAGCACGGACGAAGCGGAGCCTGAAGATGTAAAACATGTACCAAGCAGCAGCGAGCCAGAACGAAATGTGCCAGGCAGAAGTGACGCCGTGAAATTCGAAGAATCACCTCGGCGAACACAGCCGCAAGGCACACGCTTGGAAGAACAACAACAAATGAATTTGCTTGATCATATGCTCAGGTATGGTGTATATTTACTATCTTAAATGCCTCATCCGCTTCTGCTTCTCTGTAGACACATGTGGGTCATGAGTTATACTGATCGATCAATTCCACACAAATCACTGCATTCGGTTCGTCGTTAAACTACAATCGATTTCTGATACAAACGTTTTGTGAAAAGGTTTTCATTTGTAATATGTTACTTATACTTCCAATTTATATTTAACCGGTTTCTTTAAAATTTTGACCTCCGCTTTTTGCGCTCCTCTCCAAGTGACGCCTCTCATTCAGCCCATTCTTGTTTAGAATCATTGTTTTGTAATTTCCTTGCGGCATGTCTTTGTTTTTGCTTGATAGATCAATTGTAACACATATTTAGGTGGCACGCGACGAAACTACTTTTGTCTATCTCAATGTTCGTTTCGAGTCACTTACAAATTATAAACCTGACTTGCATCTCACATGTAACTGCCTCGCGTCGTCAACACTTCTGAGTCACGCCGAAGAATTGATCCTTCCTTTTTCCATTGACGCCTTCTTCAGCAATTAAAAGGCCAGTGTTTTTTTTTTATCAGAAGTTCGGTCGCAGTCGCCGGCCACATTACGCTTTTCGCAAGAGTTCCCGCCTGTGTGAAACGAACATACTATAAGGTCGCTTTGCATTATTTATGAAATCGACTCCTGAGTTATTTTGCGTTTGTGAATATAAAATCCGTCGCGTTAATCATTTGCTCGGGTGCAACATAAAGAAATACAATTAAATATTAACTTCAAGAACACAAAGGAAGTCATATTTCGGGACATGAATATTTCAGTATTTGGCTCGGGGGAGCTCAAGCGAGGCGTATCTTTGTTGGTCACAAATCGAAGCCATGGTTGTTTTCGGCGACGCACAGTTTGATTTCTTCATTGATTGCCAAATCGTTGACAGATAAGAGTAAAGAAAGAAATAATTAAGCGTTTTTTCCTGCGGGTTTCGACCAACACTTTCACACAAATCATCGATCGCTAAGGGTCAAAACGCGTTATTTCACTTTAGATCGATTTCACATGGGCTATAAAAGATTTTGAGTTGAACTAAGCGAGCTTGTAGGAAGGCCTGCTTTATTGCAAACGACGTGTTTTCACACCCTGTGAAACATTATCTCGTATGGCCATGAGAGAATTCCACCGTCGTTAATAAGCCTCACCGAAAACAATAATTACTTCTTTTCACCTCAAAGAACGCAGTCTCTTCAAAATGGTTCACCTTTTTTTTTCAAGCGTAAATTGACTGAGCATTTTTTCGCGTATTCTTTCTGCCGTCTTGCAGGTTTTAGTGAAAACCTTGTGCAGTTTGCCTCTATGACCGGAAGTAGGATTGTTTTTATTCTCACTGATGCTTTAAAAGAGAAGACGTCTGGCTTATTGATTTGAACTCTTTTACAGGGGTGCTTCACTTCAAGCATTCATTTTTAACGATTTTCAGTTTTTACATGAATAATTTTTTGTGTACGGAAGGTCGAGGGTTCAATTCCTATCTGGAACTCCGAATTTTTTTCTGTGTTGTTCTCTTCATTTATTATTAATTTTTTGGCGGTGGAAAATCATAATTTATTGGATGGACTAGGTTGATAATTTCCCATCATACGATAAATCTTTCTCAGAGACTGACGAAACACAAGAGAACAAAGTGCTTTCATTTCTGTGCCCTGTATCATTAACTGTTTTAGTACACGAACAAGGCTATTGTAGGTTACCAAAGTTATAATCTTTGTAGTCCATAAATTTGATGTATTTGATTGAAAATAAAATAATTTACTATCCAGAAATAAATTGAAACTTAAGTAGGAAATAATATTTTATTATATTTTCAATTTTCAATAATAAAAAACCTTCATGTACAGAATGTATTTGATGACCAGTTTTGTAGGAGAAATTCAAATGTCCTGATTTAAAAAACAATTTTGGCTTTTCTTGCAGTAGCTAGGCCATTCCTTTCTAGGGACTGCAGTTTTTAATGACACAATTATTAAAGACTTAACTTCAATTGGGTGTGCCATAAAATAATGATCCAACTTGTAGAACGGTGTATGCTTCAATGCTTGCAATTGTATCCCTTTAATATTATTGTCACAACCGAAAATCATCATGTTATAGTCATGTCAGCGATTCTTCAGTGTCTGCTTTGCTGCCTCCCTAATTACAAGGTTGAAGGCATGCCAACAGTTGCTAAGAATGGTTTCATTTAAACATCTATGCACATGAAAAAATGAAGGAATTACAGGATAAAAATTTACAAAGAAACTGTCAACTATATGAAAATATTGCCCCATCATTCCAGCTTGGACTTAGTGGGTCAGAACTACCAAATAATAGAGACCCCATTATTGTCCTATCAGTATAGTATGGGTGATTCCAAAAATACCAGTTTAATTGTGGTTGTTTCTTCATTAACTGTTTTTGTTTTTTGGCTAGGATGGACCCATGGCAAGCTGCAAAGGTGATCAAAATGTACATGCAGCAGCATAACATCCCACAGCGTGAGGTAGTAGAATGCACAGGGCTGAATCAAAGCCATCTCTCTCAGCATCTCAATAAGGGTACACCCATGAAAAGTAGCAAGAGAGCTGCCTTGTATACCTGGTTTGAGAACAAAAGGAAAGAGATCATTGAACGTAAGTATATTTTTGTCAGTAATATTTTTAGAATCCACATTACATTTTTCACCTTATCAGGCAGTAACTGGTGAAATTTAGCACCCGAAACAACACTTCTTACCGCCTGCAACCACTTACAGGTTGACTAAAATTAAAAAAGTAGATAATTTGTTTAAAAAAAGAAGTTGTGATCCGATCTGAAAATGAATAAATATACATGGAAAAGTACTAAAGTATACACTTTTTTTTTAAGGGCCACGCATTTCGGAAAGAGAACAATGAAGACAGAGGAAATTATTCAGAGAAATTAGCTCCTAAATTTCCCAGCGAGGGTAGGGCCATACATACATGTCCCTTACTCCACTCACTTCCCTAGCCCCCCTTCCCACCCCCCACCCCCCGCCAGGATGTAGTGGGACAGTTTATGCTTTTATATATGAAGTAGATGATACTAAAAACCGGTCTGAACTGCTCCGGGGAATAACACGTGCGCAGCTTCAGTGCACCTCTAGCACATATTTTCGCCTTACTGACCATGACTGGTCGCTAGCCTGCTGAGCTAAAATTTAGGGAGAACACTGCACAATAGGTACCAAGGTTTAGGCTTTATTACCAGGCTTTAAGTGGCTGGAAATTGAGCCTAAGTTGTTCAGGGAAGCATACCGTTATCATTGTAATAACCCCCCTCTGTTTTAAGCTGGCCTGCCTCTCTTATAAGTGCCTTCTGCACCTTATTTCCACAATTTGATTTGTTTTAATGAGCCATCACTAAATATAAGCTTAAGACTTTGAAAAGAATTGTATTTTATTGTTTTTAATTTAGAGATTGCATACACTCAAAGTTAAGTGTAAAGATATTGGGTGCTCATAATAAAATGTAGTGATTTTAGGCCTAGGTCAAACGTTGAACTTTTCATGAGATGAACCAAACTCTAATTTGGGTCAGACGTCAAACTTTGGATGCATTGAACCAATGAACTGAATCAAACCAGAAAGCAATTTTAGCTGGCCAGTGATACAATTTCTCCAGAACGAGGCTAAATATACATCATCATACAAATTTCTAATTTACTAGTTTAGTCCCTTGCTTGTGAAGATCAACGTTTGATCAACGTTTGTCCTGGAGACCATCTTCAGATGTTCTCTCCATCTGAAGCAGATGGATAGAACCTGTTGGATGATCCAAACTCATTCAGACGAACTTAACTGACCCAGATGTCGAACTTTTCATGAACATAACTCACTAAGTTTGGTTCTTCTCATGAAAAGTTAGCAATTGGCGTAGGCCTTAATATACTTTACTGAGTACCAATTAAGAATAAAATGATAACAAAGGATTGCCTCTCCAGTTTTTAATCAGCCACTGACCTTCTCAAAAAAGCTGCCCTGTAAAAGATGGCTGCGAAAAAACTTTGTATGTCTCTTTTGCAAGTGGACTGTTCAGACTTTGTACGTCCAAGGTACTAAAATTATTTGTACTCTAACAGGAAAGTGAAACTCATATTCTTTATCAAGGTCAAGTCAAGAGTGTGTTTGATCCTAAGTGTCATAAAAGTTTTTGTGTTTTTTTTACCTAGAATACAGTTCTCCAGGGAAAAGGCGATTTGATGAGGTTGAAGCCATTGGAGACAGTCCAAACAAAAAAGGGAGAAGAAACCGATTCAAATGGGGACCAGCATCCACTAGTATCTTATATCAAGCATATGAAGATCAAAAAAACCCTTCAAAAGAAGAAAGGTTTGTAACAGCATTGCCTATTTTGCAGGAGGCTAGAATATGGGTGTTAATATTTCCTATAAACAAGACCTTTGCTGCGGTGGTTTCTTGGTGTTGCAGATCTAGATGGGTGCGGCCGCCAAATAATGCAATACAAAAGATTGAATAGACCCTGAGCAATACCACACCAAAATACAAACTGAACCAACAATTAATGCTTTTCTGCAACACCAAGAAACATCCCTTTTTGTTTTAGTTTTGATGATGAACCAGCATTTTTTGTCTGATAGTCCCTGTGGAAATATTAACTTTCATGCAAATGCCAAAATCTAATGCTCTTGGTAATAACAGTATTTAAGGTTTGCCTTGACATTTTAAAGGCCTTAGTGACTTTGATAAGCTAAGGCCCGGTTCGGATGCGGTACTTTTCATGAGCAGAACCTAATACATTAAATAAAGTACATGAAAAGTTCGGTGTCTGAATCAATTAGGAACGCCTATTTCAATTTGGAAGGACTCAGCCGTTCTTTCCGCCTTGTCCGGCCGGAAATTCCCACTTTGGATCAACATTGAAACTCCTTTGATTCAGAAGCCGAACTGGCCGGATGGATAAGTCATTTGGGAAATAATTAAATTATAAGTATTTTCTCAAAATTTCCACTACTGCCAAGCAAACCATTTAAGAATGGACTGATCTGGCTTGATAGTGGTGATAAATAGTAGAATTCTCTTTGCAACTGGACTGGTCTGAGCAGCCAGTGTTAATGTTTCTGAGCAGCCAAGTCTAATGAATCTTTGATCAAAAGAAGACTTTAATATTAAATCAGTTTTCACCTGGATATTTGGATTCACTCGGGGCCTTATTTCATTATAGATATACTTTCTGTTTGAAGTTTTCTGTGTGTAGATTGGGGAACAGTATGTTCTGTAACTAGTTAGACATGTAATATTAAGGCTATGGCTATGGCCAAAAATCGTTTTAAGGGTTGCTACTAAACCCATATGTGTGTTGAGTTGTTTGCCCTGAAAAGGTTTTCTCCGAATTCTCTGGTTTTCCCCTTTCCTGAAAACCAACATTCCAATTTGACCAGGAATGGTGGACGAAGAACGACTGTGTGAATCTGTTACCTATAAATCTTATTTATTTATTATGGCTTTTTATACGAGGAACAACAAGATGCGTCTTTCATAAGATGCGTCCTAAATAAGACGCAAACTATCTCGTATAAACTGCACCTTAAGATGCGTCTTATCGAAGAACAGGTGTTAGGGGCTGTTCTTAGATAAGATGTGTCTTAGCTTAATTTCAAACTGAGTGTGCCATTTATACGGGATAGTTGGCCTCTTATTTAGGACATGTCTTATGTAAGATGGGTGTTAACAGCCCTATTTTCTATCTATTTATTTAAACCTAATTGAATGATTTTGTGAAAAATTTTCCAGGGAAGTACTGGTGGAGTCTTGCAACCGGGCAGAATGTACCCAGAGAGGGGTTCCATATGACAATGTGGAGGGGCTTGGTCCAAACCTAGTAACAGAGAGCCGTGTATACAACTGGTTTGCTAACAGGCGTAAGGAGGAAACATTTAGGTTGAAGCTTGCAATTGATGCTGCAAACTATCCAGAGACACCTGGGCAAGGTGGGTCATCACCTTTAGCTACATGATAATTATGAACTACACCTTTTGCTGTCATTTGTGTGAAATGGCGACCAACAGTGCAAAAATACATTCATTAGCGTGAAAAGCGAACATTTGCACATAAATCAGATTCAAATAACGATTTTTGCATTTTAATCAACATTCAATAACATTTTTGGGCATTCATTTGCATCATTTGACATACAAAAGAGAAAAATATACTTTCATTAATGCCAACATTCGAGTCATTATCATTATCTTGAAAATCATTGGGGACAATAGACAAACATTTAAGTGCAAATGCTATTCAGTAGCATTTTTTATAACACTGTTTGCAATTCAGTAGCATTCCTGGACAGCTTTAGAATGGATAAGACAAACGTTTATGCCCTTGTACAATCAATTGAGTGTTCTTTACATTTAATATACAAAAATCTATTTTCAATCAAACAATAGAAATTCAAACAAATTTGGTCTGAATTTCAGTCTGTTAAATGTATATCCCTCAAAAACCTATATATTTAAACATTCTAGGAGGTAGGTTTGCATGAAATCGTACCCCTTAGCACATTTAGCTGCAGTCACAATGTCATGTGTCTGCGCAGAGCAGAGCTTCAAGCACCGCAGTTGTTGTGTTCAACATTTTGGGCAAAACATTAATTTTATAATATTCAAGCTCTTGCCATCACTTATTCTTCCCACTACAATCTATATCAAAGGCCTACCATTGTGCATAATTTCACTGAGTCTTTGTAAGCAGAAAATAATTCATGACTGCTGATTGTAACATTGTGCTTTGTAGGACACGTCGCTGTATCCCAACCATTAGCTTCTCCAGGCATACACACTCCAATGTCACCAGTAATTCCACATCCCACGACTACTTCATTAGTACCTCCCCTGGCCAAGATGACTTCTCCTCAAACAGGGCCAGCAAATCATATTGCAGTTCCTGTTTCAGCGCAGCAATCACAGCAACCGATGACATTGGGTAGTAGCCATATGAACCATGCCCAGCAAATGGTCTCTGGGCAACAAGTTGGAACTCAGCCAGGTCAGCAGGGAATGCCAATGATGGGCAACTTCATTCCCGCGGTGTCTCCTCAACAAATGCCACTTAACTTAACTATGATGCCTCCACCTGTGACATCTGTGCCAACTTGTCAAGTCGCACTACAGCCACAGATGATGCCAGTCAGCAGTGTAGCTCCTCATCAATCTCCAGTGGTTCCAGGAATCAGTCAAATGCCAGTCATTGTGTCAGTTCAGCCTGGTATAGATGGACTACCACATGGTATGCAACACCTTCCAGAAAATGTTGGGCAAATGACTGGAACACCCCATCTTGTCCAAGTGCACCCTGTTCCCATGACAACACTCCCTATGCCACCTCCTTTGCAGCCAATAACCTGCAGTGATATGCCATTACCTCCAGTGCTTCAGCCCTTGTCAGTCATGTCACCTGTGGTGCAGATGTCACTTGCACAGGCGCAGGGACCTGTCAGTGTTCCACAGAACAATGGTAATACAACCAGTGAACGCCAACCAGAATCCCCTATATATGAAGTCAAACTTGACACTCCTGTCAAGGACCAGGCCACTGGAAAGCCACACCCAGCAGCTGGTGTATCAACTCCAGACAAGGCTAAGGAAGAAAGTAAATCTGAAAGTCTTAAGGTTGAAAATGGTGTTGACGAGACAATAATAGCAGAAAATGTTACGATTACAACTGAGAGTGAAGATCAAAACACTGACAGCTCTAAAACTGGTGTTAAAGTGGAAGATTATGATAAGTGTTCCAAGAAGGAACAAAAACATGAAGAAGCTTCAAATCATATCAGTAGTGATCAATCAAATGAGGAAAGTTGACTCTTTGCTGACAACAGTAATTACTGACTGACTGACTGACGAAATAATATGTGTCTGCATGGAACTGCTGAGTGTGGCTGGATCACATTTTTTTGCATAAAAAGGTAGCATAGTTGTGAATTTAAAGCACACGAGGAGTAGCCTGAGATTATGCTCTCTTCCTATTATCGCTATATCTAATCGCAAGTTGATGAGGAGGTGACGAGGGTTGTTAAGTAAGCCTCTTCAAGCCTTTGGGATTTAAGACAGGGAAGTCAACTTATAAAATGAAAGGAAAATGTAATTAATAACAATACTTTTGCCAAAATTCATTTAGTCCACTTACTTACATTGCACAAAAATAGAGTACGTCATATCTTTATTAATTATTGTGGTATAGTATCATTGAAGTCTCCCCTGTGGAAAGACTAAATGCATCCATGAATACAAGTGTATACTGAATAGAGTAAAATACAATAGAATGATAGAAATGTACAAATTCTACAAAGAAATATTTGTAAGTCATTGCAGCGCCAAGTCATTTCTAATAATATTCAGTTTAGGTTCGATCTTACTACCTGAATTATTTAATAATAATTTAATGTCCAGTTGATGGAACAAAATACAGTGTTTTGATTCCATGATACTTACATTTAACATACCAAGAAAAGAAATAGAATTTGATATTATTTTTTAGTCATTTTGAAATTGTAAATAAATGGTACAATATGAGCTAGATCAAATAATTTATAGCTCTAATATTGAAAATTATAGTGATATTTCATACAATAAGAGATTCAAAAGTGATCTATATAGAAGTGTCCGAACTTATTACATATTTATGTCCTTTACCAATAATGGTCAATTTAATAGTGCCTTTTTAAGACAACGAGAATTTCACTAATATAGTCGAGTTCTAATTCATTAGGGTAATTTGGATTTAGTGTCCTTACGAGAATTACGCAAATTGTTTCCATATTTATTAACTAAAAAACCCCGATTTTTTTTCCAAAGGTGACCTATAATGAAATATGAAAGGATTATCTTCAGTGCGATACGAATCATTTTACTATAGGTATTTAAAAAATTAAATGTCTATCTATAACATTTAGATTTTATTTTTATTTTGAACAAATCGATACATTTAGATGTAGAATTTTTTATTATGACTTTCAATGTTCAAACAAATATTAACATTTTAATCATAATTTGTATAGAAATGAAAATGTTATTTTGTACTTCAAATAAAGCGCCTATTTTCCTGAAGGGAATTAGTTTTGTTATTTTGCGATTTTCTCTGCAGTATCTAGACGATATCCAATAGCTAGAAGGTGGGCAAGGAAAGACGAGCTGTTATCACTAAATGATAGTTCAATTTTATTTGAGGGTTAAAATGGGCAGTGTTCCTCGGGAACCAAATACTCCCCCTCCCCTCCCCCGTTAATTATGTTTTTCAGTTAAAATTCTTTGAGTGCAGGGTTTCGCGCAACTCGTATATAAAACTTACTGGTTCGTTGTTGCTGGATCTCTGATGTAGAGATACTTGAGCCAGCAAGGTGGTTAATGGGAAATGAAACCCCATATAAGAGAAAATTGAGCGAACAGTCGTTTATATCCATAGAGGTATGTCTCGTTTACCTCAGGGCTGTACACGAGGAACGAAAGAAGGAAGAAATAAAAACGACAACGCCTTCATTACAAATAAAAAAAGTACAGACATTAACATTGAAGTTCGAATGAGGCCTTGTTTCCTACTGAAGAACAACATGCAAAGACTACAGATGTTATTTGACTTGCTGGTATTACAGGTCAAATTGAGCTGGAGCCACGCCCACTATAGTTTCATAATAGAGGTACCTTCTTCGCCCTGGCCTTTAGCCTTCCTTTATAGCTCCCCTTTTACAGCCCCGTAAATGTCTCGCTTTTGGGAAGTTCTTGTGTTGGCTTTAACAAAGCATTTTATGAAAATTTAAACAGTTCAAAAGAACGAAATGACGTTTGATTTAAAAAATAAATAAAAACAAAACATGTTTTTGATAATACACTATACGGAGAGGCTCCTCCCGAAAAGTGGTACCTTTTTCAGGCTTCAGGGTATATGAAAGGGTAGGGACATCACTTAATGAAGTATATAAAAGGGTACGGAATTTACGCGATGGAAAGTTCTAAACTAGGTATCGAAAGTGGTACCATTAGTCAGTAGAAGATATACGAAAAGGGTATCTTATCTGTCGAAAATGGTATGTAAATTGAAAAGGGTAACGGGTTTGACCACTGGGCGGAGCCTTCCCGTATAAAACGTGGTTTAGGAGCATCCTGGGTTTTGTTTTCTTCCCTGAAAAGTCTGTTAGAGGCCAACAGGTGAAAACTTTTGAAGTCAAAGCAATTGATTTTTAAAGGAGAGAAATTAAC